TTTTTTTTTTTTTTTTTTTTTTTTGGACAAGAGAATTGGTTGCCACTCCCAGCCTGCTGGAAAGTGAGTGGGCAAACTGAACAACAGAGGAGAAGCCACAAGTGGGGGAAAACAATACAATAGAGATTGAGCTCAGAAGATTAAGTTCTTTTCTACTGGCATCATAATTATCATTAATAATCAGAAGACTGGCAGATTTTCCTTAACTTATTATGGTGTTTGATGTTACCTTTAGATTTCTAATACAAAGACTCAGAAGACTGTGCTAGAATTTTGTTCATTAACCTTATTCATTTTATTTCATGCAGCCGCATTTGGAGCAATTTTGCACGTAATATCCACTTCACTGCTTGGTATAACAGCAATTACCATGGCTAACACCATTGCTGGTGAAGAAACAGTGCACAAGATTGCTTCACTTTTGCTTGTATTTTTGGGTGGTAGTTATATACTTCTGTTTCTGATGGGAAAGGGTGGCCATAGTCATTCGCACAACCAACCCATGGAGAAAATGGCTGTAGCTGGACTTATTCTTGTTCCTGCCTTGTCTCCTTGTGCGACAACACTCCCAGTATTTCTTGCTGTTGGAAATTCATCCTCCATGATGGTGCTTGCCATCATAGTACTACTATTCAGGTATTAGTCAATTACCTTAATCCATAGGAATTTTTTCTCCTGCTATTTTGTGCTTCTTATTCAGATATGCATACTTTTCTAAAGCTTCCATGTGCATGTTTGGTGGATCTGTGTTGGCCTATGATTATTTAGAATGATATGTTATTTGTTGGAAAATGGTGTCAGATTATCAATACTGAATTCTGACATCGGCAGTAACATTGAAAAAAGCAAAATCTTCCAAAAAATCTTTTACTCCATGATCATGAAAATGTGTTTTGACTATCGAAACAGGTATGTGCAATTCAACCTAATGAACTATTTGATGTTGTTAAATCTGGACCCAAGAGTAAAACTAGGTAGGGATTAGGGAGATCCAGATCAGGTTGAACTGTTTTAACTAGGTAGTTGAATCTTGATGACATTGTTCAAAAAAAATTTATGAAACAAATGAAATTTATAAAATCTTTCAGGAAATATGAATTGATTAAATCAGGTTGAGTGCTTTTAACTGGTCTGAAGTTGTTTGACCATCTACTCAGTTTTGAGATTGAATTATGATCAGACAAGTTACCAATTCATGGTTAGATCAATTGGGCCACCCAGTCTGTTTGGCCCGACAACAATGACCATTGCTTGAACATTTGTCTACAATGTTAGGAAATACTATCGAGTCTTAATTTGTATGTAATTCACATGAAGCAATATCAAATTTATAAAATCTTTCGGGAAAAGTGAACAGAATCAACAGATTAAACCAGGTTGAGTGATTTTACCTGGTCCAAAGGTGTTTGACCATCAATTCAGTTTTGAGACGGTTATAGTTGGATAAGCATCCAATTCATGGTTAAACAGTTAAACTGGTTGGACTGCCTAGTCTGGTTTCTGACAACAATTACTCTTCGATTGGACATTTGCCTACAGTGTATGGAAATACATGAATTATGGAGTTGTAATAACAAGACATCATGTAAACCATTTTTCATAACAACTTATGCTAAGTCTTCTAGTAAGACATGTCGGACAAACGTATCAATTTTGGCACCACAAACTAATTGAAATTTGAGATTTCATCCAAGCTAAACAAAGATGGTTAACAGTTGAACTAGATCCCTTGACTACCTTTTGGAAATACAGGTTGCTTGATGGAACGTATAAGAATCCTTATCTTGTCTCGTATATGAATTTTGAATGCTGTTCTGCACTACAGATTCATAATCCTTTAAGTCCAAGAGCTTCCTAATCTGGATTGATGCTAGTTTGATTTAGATGCCAGTTAAGTTTGCAAAATTTTATGTTTAGATATTCATATTACTAAACAAGCTTCACACATATTGCATTTACAGCACAATAACTGTGATGACTTCGCTAGTAGCATTGTCATTTTATGGGGCCAGTCAGCTGAAGTTTCACTGGGTAGAGCGATATGACAAACTTCTTGTTGGTTCAGTGCTGTGTTTAGTAGGAGTCTTGACCCTACTTTTTCATGATCACGATCATGGAGAAGTAGTTACGATCGGAGAGCACTCACATAGGAAGATTATTACCTTGTGAGATATATAAATGTTTTTGTAATTAACATGCTTTTGAGCATTGTCACGGTAAAAAAAAATGATGTTGCTGTTTAGAAAATTGATCATCTTGGTCTAGTTTGAGTGATTGTACACTGAGTTTATAATGTGAAGCTAATGAATATTCAAATTACCTGTTCTGTTGGTACAAACATACTTTGATTAAAACTTCAAAGTGAAACACCAATTAATTTAGTCTAGTCTCTGAAAGAATGATCACTGCATAACTTATTTTAAAATTACTTCAGTTCACAAAATATTGCAGAATCAGTCTGATTTAGTGTGATAGAATATGTGATTATTCATTTATACAAGTAAATAAATGGTTTACCGCAAAAAAATCTGGTACGATCTTATTGTAGAGGAATGAACTCTATGAGACTTGTACACTAATAAACGGTCTTCATTAGAAGTAAAGAGTTTTGCCATTAAATGGGATTGAAATTTATGCAATTTATGCACCAGTAAATGCATGTTACATCTTGATTGACAATGAAAAATACTGCACTGATTAGCAACATCGAAATTGATTTTGCTTCGGGGTAACTTGATTTTAGTAAAAAATATAAATATAAATATAAATATTTGGTAATTGTTTGGTAAAATTCATTTTACTTTCAAATTTGGGTTATATTAAAAGTGATAAAACACAACTTTTATTATTTTTTTATTTTAAGATTACAGCTGAATATTGAAGTGCCATCATATGCGCCCCCTAATACGGTTCGTCTCTAATCCATACCAATTTCATGTCTTACTTAGCTTGCTTAAAGGAATGAAAAAGGGTTATTAAACCTACATAAAATTGGATACAAAAATTCACATTTGATTGTTAAGCATTCCCACTATCTCAGCCAAAACATAGCTTTTATGTTGAGTTGGAAAATTTACACAACTTTTACATTCAACTTGCTTTGAAGATAATTTTACTTCAAAATTAATTTGCATAAAATCAATTTTATTAAAAATTAATTTCATTCAAATAATTATGTTTTGGAACTACACATGCATACACATACACGCACACAAAGAGAAATATTTAAATGCATATTACACACAAATTATGTAACAACCGGTCATGACTGATACATCTCGTGAAAATCTTCAAATAATAGTGAAACTACTCATATGCTTGAGATTTCATACTCACTTTACATGGATATACACATTATGATGTGTATATAAGTATAAAAGTATTTAAGAAACAACTCTATATATATACCGTATATGTATAATCATAAAAAATAAAACAGTTTAGGATCCTAAATGTCAATCAAACACAATTATACAAGCTACATGTAGTAGCACCACCATCAACAAAAAATCACGCCCTTGCCAATAGTAGCTCTCATGCAACGTATAATCATCGTAATCCAAACTACCATGGAAACAGAAAAAGTAAGCTAGAGTTCAAAAACATGTACATATAGAAAACAAGTTTATAATATACAAAAACACACCAGATATCATACATGAAAACTAATAAGATCCAAAGCAAGCATGTACCTCACCCAATTGTGTCCCAAAAGACATTAAAAATGCACATGAACACATCTCAACATATATCATATGCAAACACATCAACCAATATGTCGACACACATTCACTTACGGAGATCTCCTAATAACATGAGCAGTCTAAGTGATTTTCACTCTATCGAACCAACCTAATCGTTTTCACGCTCGAAGTGTCGGCTTAATCACAACAAAATGGGACACTAATCCCTCTTTTGGTTTTTCGAGTCTCATCACTTACACTAGGAAAGTTTGGTTCCACCATCAAGAGTAGTACAATTGGGTATAGGCTTACCATGACCTTAGCATGCATTACCAAGTCACATATGAAATTTGTCCACTGATTATCCTCAAGGAATTACACAACGTTTCCAAGTACTTGGTTAAGGGTTCTAGCCCTCGACCTCATACCTTACTCAACCGCTAACTAAAAACTTTGAGGAGGTTTAACACACCTCAAAAACCCACTCCAAGAGACTCACCTACTCAAGGAGGGTTTTTCAAACAATGGCCTACTCGAGTACTATTCCAAGATTTCCTACGTGGGTTCTTCAGTTTTTAAAATAATTTTCTCTCCTCAAGTTCTAAGTTAGTCATCATGCTTTAATGCCACATCGCATTCTTAACATCAACACCTCACCATACATCTACTATATACATCACATCCAGTCAATGCATATATAGAAATCAATAATATCAAATCATGTATAACATATCAATGCTTAACACCTCAACCAAGAATGGTATACTAATGCTTAACAATTCATACAATAATAGCATATCAATGCTTCACCATTCATACAACAATATTTCAATCATATCAAGAACATAATTGATCAATACAAGCCATATACACTTTTTTGGAAGACAACATAGTCAATTGCACAAGCACTAAATCGCTTAACGCTTCCTAAATCGCTCAACGTTTTCAAAAGCACTCAACTGTTTTCAAACAACTCAGCCTTTTACCTCTAGAGATCCCTCAATCACACGAGCCCCAAAGCGCTCAGTCAACCCTTTGCCTCCAAGGACCCCCTGTTACGCGGCCCCCAAAGTGCTCAATCATTTCCAAATGGCTCAATCCTTTGGTGACATAGGGCATCCTTGTTCTTCACCATTTTTGGACCTCCACACTTGAAACTCAAAAAACTCAACATGCAATGGAAGAAATAGTACTCATGCACCAAAAACAACTCAATTCAAGTCCTATGAACAACATGCAACCATCAAAACTCAAAGATTCCAGCTTCCCTTATCTCGGAACAAAGTGAAATTGAAGAACCCTGATGTAATTCCAAGGTAATAGAAGAACGATCGGCTCTACACGAATTCAACGACTTGATTTGAGATTTTCACTACCCGAATCATAACAACACCACTTAGAAGAGAATTAAGAAGAAGAAGAGAAAAAGATTGGAAGAAATAAAGCTCATGAACCATAGACCTTCTGTTTAAAATCTTCTCTCTAGTCAAACCTCATAAATTATACATTATAAATTTTATATTTTTCTTATTATTCAAAAAAAAATTTATACACTCAATTTTAAATAGAAATATTTAAATGCATATTAGTATAATATTAATAAATTGATAAAATTGTTATTTATAAAAGGTTTTAAGAGGGGGATTTTTAAGTGAATATTTATATAATATGAATAAATTTCTATATATATATATATATATATATATTCACTTAAAAAGTAGTTGTTAAAATATTTAATATTACTATTTATTTATAGTGTTTTTTTAAATCAATTTTCTTATTGTTTGAATAAATAATATGTTTATTAATTTTAAATAATTTATTATATATTTATTGAATGTATGACTATTTATATGAGGATATATATTTATGTATATTAAAAGTATACTATTAAATAAAAATTAATTATTTAAGGATTATATATATATATACACAAATGTCTATAGATTATACATAACAATATTATTTAATTATTTTTCACAACATAGTTTATAAAACAAATTTTAAAAAAGAAAGAATTAAATGAATATTAATGTAATAATAGAAATATATTAATTATTATTTATTTATAAAATATTTTAAATAATAGTAATAGAATATTATTTATTTTCTTTATCTATATATTCAAAAATATTATTAAGTATATATACATATATACATTAATTTTTTTATATTAATTTTCTCTTTGTTTGAATAAATAAGTTTAAAACAGAAAATATTAAATATATTAACATGATATATATCATTAATTTTGTATTTTTAAAGTTAACATCAATAATAATATTGAATAAAATATATTTATTAATGTTAATAAATGTAATATATATTTGTTAAATGTTTAACTTTTAATATTAGTATATGTCTTTTTTTAAAAATTATTATATAAAATTAAATTATTACAAAATTA